GAAGGAACGAAGGAACGAAGGAAGGAAGGAAAGGAGAGAAAATGTCTTGGAGCCAAAAGATAGAAATTCCAGTTTCTCCACTTCCCATGTAACCTTGGAAAGCTGTTTTCTGTCTTTGAATCTCATTTTTCACATCCGTGAAGTAGAGATAATCATACATTCCTGATGGGAATAAGTGAAGGTGAGGATCAAGGATGTGATGTATATAAACCACCTAATGTAGATAAGAGCTGGAGGGGCTGAGGCTCCCTCTGCCTCCTACCTCCTCCCCTCATGGTCTCCCACCTGCTCCCTGGGATCTCCAGTTCACTTCCTGGGATATTGACCAGTGGGAGGCTGCTCCTGGGGTTAGGGGGCTTTGTTCACACTGAGACACTGTAGGGGCACTAATAATTATGCCTGGACAATAGGTGTAACATGTAGGACCCTCTCGAGCAAACCAAAGTGCATGGACACTCGTATATGGTAGCAGGCCCCGGGAGGCAGGACCCTGCAGTCCCAGCAGAGAGCAGGGCCCAGGGTGAGAACACTGAGCAAACTTTCTTATCAGCTCCACTGCCTCTCCTCCATGAAACCCGCCCCGCAGCCTGGGGCAATCATCCTGGCTTCTTCCTACTTCCCCTAAAACCTAGAATAAAAGCTGCTTCTAGGGCCCAGCAGCCAGAGGTACTGAGAGTGAAGGCCTCAGACTCTCAGGAGGTAAGTTCCCTCTCAGCTTCCAGGGGAAAAGGGGGTCCAGGGCTTGGGAGGAAGAAGCACCTTATGGGGCAAACACGTAGGAGGCCTGTCCTTATGATCAGGATGGCCACTGTCTTCCTCCTTGTCCTTCCTCAGCATGAGTGAAATCAGCCCTGACCTTGAGCAGATCTGCTCCTGCGAAGTCTGGGCTGAGTGTCATCTCAGGGGGCAGCAATGAAGATTTCAGGAAAAAGGGACTTTTGTACTTTTGTACCCCATTCTTTTCCAGACTCTTCAGCTCAGGGTCTGTTCACTGAAGAGGGAGGAAGCTCTCTAATTTGCCCTTTAATCAGTGAACTAAACAAGTACTGCATCTTCACTATGTGCCAGGAGCTGTGCTAGACACACAAGGACGACCCCAAGGAGGACAGTGAGGTTGTGTCCTCACCACAAGGCTGAGTAGACATGAAATGCCTTCTGCTCCTGCCCCTTCTTCTGCTGGGGACAGTTTCTGCTCTTTTTCTAGGTAAGCCCTCCCCTTCCCTTCTCACTCATCTTTGTCTTTTCTCCTTTTTCCTACTTTTTTTCCCTTTTTTTCTGTCATGAGATCAGAGCCATAATCTCCCCTCTTCAGTTGACTCAGCCCATCTTGTAAGATTTCTCCTGGTCTCGGAACTGTGACCTGAACTTTCTGTCAGGGCTCTTTAATAAGGAAACGGCACCCAGCTGTTAAGATGAAGGGCTGGTGACCGCTCCAGACTTCTCACATGTGTTTCCTCCCACCCTAAAAATACAGACCTGACCTGTGGTGTCAGCCAGAAGCCAGGCTCTCGTCCAGGTGTAACCCAAGAGATCTCTTCTCAGTCAACACCCAGGAGATCCTTCAGTCTCGGCTTCCTTCACAGGGCATCCCTGGGAATGCTTGAGTGGGGGCACTGGATCTGTCCATGGTCCTGGAAGAAGGGAGAACTTGATCTGAAGGCAGGTTACTTCTTCTTCCCAGAGAACGATGCCCCCCATCTGGAGAGCCTAGAGACAGAGGCAGACCTGGGCCAGGATCTGGATGGTTCAGGGGAGCAGAAGAGTGAGTTGGCCCTGACTGAGGAGGTGATTCAGTCAAAGGGAGAGGAGGTCGAGGCTTCTGCATGTCAAAACACATTTGAGGATGAGGAAGCCATGGAGCCAGACCCAGCTGCCTTAGACAAGGACTTGCAGTGCCCCAGGAAGGAAGACACAGTTCAACTGCATGGAAGTCCTGAGTGCAAGACCTGTCGCTACGTGTTGGTGCGGAGCCCCATGACGTTTAGCAACGCTCAGGTAAGTGGCAGGGAGGCAACTGTGGAAGACCCCGGAGAGAAGAGAGTGAATTTAATCTTCTGTTTCCTATTCATTTAGATGAGTGGTTCTCAAAGCCTACTCTCAGAATCACCTGGAGGTCTTGTTAGAACAGAGATTTCTGAGACCCCCCCCACAATTTCTGATTTAGGACGTCTGAGGTGGAGTCTGAGAATTTACATTTATAACAAATTCCCAGGTGATGATGATATTGTTGGTCTGGGAACTGCACTTTGAGAACCACTGATTTAGACAAAAAGCTTTGGTATTAGACATAGATGCATTAAATTCTGGCTCTGTCTCTCAGTGGCTGTGTTGCTTGGGCAAGTCACTTCAACTTTTGGAGCTTCAGTACCTTCATTTGGACATAGAGTACCAACCATTTAGAGTTGTGGTGAAGATTAAATGACAATACATGGCAAGCATTTGGAATAGTCCCTGGGTCATAGTAAACTCTCAATAAATGGTGCCTATGATTATTATGAGTATCATTATTTCCTGCAAGAATATCCTGACAACTGATTAAGGAGCAAAATATAAGATTAAGGGAGATAAGTAGGTACCTTATTTCTAACCCGAAAAATGATGTGGGGATCTTGCCTGGAGACTCTGGAATTTGAGTAAAACAAGAGTGAATTCTCTACTCCACCTCTTCTCTCTGCAGAATGTCTGCAGAAGATGCTACCAAGGCAACCTCGTCTCCATCCACAATGACCATTTCAACTATCTCATTCAGCGCAGCGCCAGTAGACTCAACCAGGCTCAGGTCTGGATTGGTGGCATCCTCAAGGGCTGGGTAAGTCAGGGGCTAACTCCCAGGTACAGGAAATTCTTTGATTGTCTTAACGGAGCACCTGCTGGTGCCAAGCCTTGGCCCAGCAGCTAAGGTGTCCTGAGAGTGGCAGGCAATGACTTGCTGGAGCTGGCTTGCTCTGGCCTGGGAGAACTGATGGTGCACATCTCTTCCCAACTCCATATGCAGTGACCACATGCTTGTGACTTGAAGTCAGCCATGGTGGGAATATTTACACCAAGGAAATTGTCAATTGCTACAATCAGGGCTGCTTCTGACTCTCCATCTTCTCACCCTCCCTAGAGCAGGGTTTTAAACATTTACCAGCACACTACTAGAGTAAGGAGACAGAATCCAGGGCCAGCTCAGTCACTTATTAGCTGTTTTGCTTTCTCAGAGCCTCCGTTTCTTCATCTTTAAAATGGGGAGGGGGCTGGCCAGTTAGCTCAGTTGGTTAGAACATGGTGTTAATAATACCAAGGTCCAGGGTTCAATCCCTGTACCAGCCAGCTGCCAAAAAACAAAACAAAAAACAAAATAAAATGGGGAAATTCTTCTCTCAGGGTGGCTCTGGGATTGGAGATGAATAAGTACCATTATATTTGGGACTCAAAGTGTGGTCCACGGACCAGCAGTATCAGCATCACCTGGTTACTGTTAACAAAATACAGAATCTTGGGCCCCATCCCAGACCTCCTGAATCAAGACCTACCTTTCAGCAAGATCTCTGGGAGATGGATATGCACAGTAAAGTCTGAGAAGCCTACTCTGTGTGATGGCTGGGAGAGATGGTTGCTCTTCCTTCATCATTGCCTGCAAACCCCTCAGGGATGGGTTTTTACGTACCTGGCTCCTGGCCAGGTGGGTAGTGAGAAGAGGCAGCAGTGGCTATTCTCTGAGGCCCCCAGATCTTCCTGTCTTCCTGGACCTCTGCCATCTGACCCAGCCGATCACTTCTCTAGTTCCTGTGGAAGAAATATTGCTGGACCGATGGGAGCTCCTGGAATTTTGAATACTGGGCCTCGGGGGAGCCTAGGAGTGGGAGTGGCTGCTGTGTGGCAATGAGTACCAGAGGTGAGGGGGACTGGGCACCAAGGCAAGGAGACGGGGTAGCCAAGTGGACTCTCACATAACATCCCTTTGAGCTGACTGGACACATCTCCCCAAACTCACCACACTCTCCCCTAAACGGAGCACCAAAGCCCTGTCTGTGAGGGGGTTTGAGACATAAGGATTCCTCAAAGCAAAACCTAATGACAGGTGCCCTCTTTGGGTGGCAGGTGGGGGGGGGTTCTTTACCTCTGATAGGAGGGCAACAAATTCGAGTGACTGATGTGACAAATGAGAGCAGCAGATGTGAATATAAGGTGTGGATGGGAGAGAAGAAAAAATGTGGGAATTAGAGATGGCTGAGAAAGAAGACACCAGCTTCACACAGCAGATGTGGCAACCGCATGGATGACCAATGTGAGGGAGTGTGGTATAGTGGCTAAGACCATATGTGCTGGAGCATCTCATCCCAGCTCTGCCACTTGCCAGCTGAGATACAGGTTATCTCCATTAAGCCTCTGTTTCCTCATCTGTGAAATGGGGATGATGGAAGCATCCTCTTGGAGCTTGCAAGTCATGGTGAGGATTCAGTGATAGTCCACATAAAGTAATTAGCACTCTGCGTAGGTTGCGGTAGGGTCTCCATAGATGTTAGCTAGTAGGGATGTATGGGAAACATGACTGTCAGATAATGATGATGGCTGTCGAAGGGGGCACAGAAGGTGCCTGAGGAGACAAGGGGGCGGGGGGGGGGATGGGCCAGACCCAGATAGGCAGCTGACATCACTGTGCTCTCTACCGCCAGCGGGCCATTGGCGACGAATTCAGTGCGAAACGCATCTGCCCTTCGTCTGCTCCTTCTAAGCCAGGGAGGGGCACGGAGACCCTGCGCTGGAGCTTCCTCTCTTTACACCTCTCGCTGCCCCCGTCCCACCCTCGACACTGGGCTCTGTATCCCAGCCTCTCCTGGTCACAAATCCAGATTTCCCACAGCATTTCCTGACTCTTGTTTCTTCCTTGCTTACTTTGGGGGACTCCCCGAAGCTGGGAAAGTCCTGGTAGCGCTCACTCCTGCAGGAAAGTCCCACGCGGCAGAGGAGGGTGGCGGGCTGCTGGGGTGGGGGTGGGGGCCGCGCTGTTCGCTGCAGCGCCATCTGGAGGCAGCGCGGGGACCAGGCGCAGCTGTCCCGAAGGCCCCTCTCCGCCCTGCTCGGACTCCCCGCCCCACCCGGGCAGGGGAAGGTGGATTTGGCGGGGGTGGCGGGCAGGTCCTCCTGCGGTGTTTGGATTCAGTATGGGGTGCGGGGCGAGACGGCTTTCCAAAGTAGAGGCGATGGGGCTGATTCAAGAGTTGACGTTGAGTACTGAGACCCCACCCGGGGTACACCACGAGGAGGCGGGGAGAAAATGGTCTTGTCTTGGGGCAGCCTGCTTCTCCATCCCTAGTACATTTTTGTCCTCCGATAATGGCCCCCATTTCCCATTCTCCCAGCCACCTCCGTGAGTTCAAGCCCCCAGTCCATCCCCAGGAGGGCGGCCGTCGTCCCCTTCCTCCATCCCAGCCTCCCTCTGTAGAGGGGTGACATTCCTCGGAGGGAGCTGCCTCCCATCAGGAGGGCCTTGGGGCCACAGTCAGAGTGTCTGGTGGCAGCCTGGCTCCCACTCCCAGTTCTACAGCCCCGCCTCTGCTCCTCCCCCTCCCACTTTCTCAGACCCTGTGGACACTGAGAACACTGTTGCTTCTCTTAACTTGGTCCCAGGCAGGATGCTGGAATCCAGGAAGGATTTAGAATTGATTAAGCAGGAAGCTCACACCTGAGACTGGGAATTAAGACGACAGAGAGCCTTGGATTGTGGGGGAGAGACAGAGAGAGACGTACTGGGGTATATTTCTACATGGAGAATATAAATACACATACATGTGTGTGCACGCACAGAAAGATACATGTATCCTGGTATGTATATGAGTCAATATTTGTATACATGTGTACACCTGTATATGTGTGAATCTGTATATGTAAATACCTAAATCTGTGTGAGTCTGTGTGTATTTGTGTGTTGTTTGAATGTGCACACATTTATACATCTGTGTATTTATGGATATGCTTGTATGTCTGTGTACATCTGTGAGTGTGTATGTCTGTGTAGTTTTGCTCCTTATGTGCCTGAATCCTTGTGTAGATGCATGTATGTGTACCTCTGTGTCTTTGACCAGTATGTGTGTTGGTGTGTATATGTGTGTGTAAGCATACCTGCGTACAGGTCTGTGTTTGTGTGTGTACGTGTGCATCTGTACAGGCATCTGATGGGATGTGGTTACAGGAGCAAAAAGAACAGTTTTCCCAGATATGCTGTGTTTCTAACGGTGTTGGAGCTGAGGGAACAGGACAGGGTCAGAGAGCCCTGGAGAAAGTGGGTGGTGGAGAAAGAGCAGGGATGAGTCTTTGAGCATGGGCAGGCCTCTGGCAACAGGAGAATGTGCTCTGGCACTGTCATGAACCTCAGCTGTTACAGGAGCAAAAAGAACAGTTTTCCCAGATATGCTGTTTCTAACGGTGTTGGAGCTGAGGGAACAGGACAGGGTCAGAGAGCCCTGGAGAAAGTGGGTGGTGGAGAAAGAGCAGGGATGAGTCCTTGAGCATGGGCAGGCCTCTGGCAACAGGAGAATGTGCTCTGGCACTGTCATGAACCTCAGCAATGCTGGGACCTGGGACCTGTCTGTAGGTGAAAAGGCCTGTCCTCAGCAGAGGGGTCTGTCCATCTGCCTTGGATGGAGACTGGGTCAGGGAGTTCCTAATCACAGTATGGCAGGTGGCCATTCTCCTCAAGGGCACAGGAGGGGAGCTGCATGGGAGTAGGGGCCCCTGCACAGGTCCCTGCACTGCACACTGCAGTAAGTCAATTCTTGATGCTATGCTTCTAAAAATCAGTAGAATCTGGCTGTGGGGAGTGCGAAGGATTTGCAGGAAGGGAATCTCTGCACAGGTAGCTCTGAGACTTGTGTTCCTGCTGAATGCCAGGCCCCCTTTTATCATTCTCCACTTATCTCCCTGATGGGAACAGACTCTAGCCAAACCCAGTAGCCCAACATCCTGCCAGCCAAAACCAGGGGTAGAGGTAGGGAGGGCGGCTAAGACCCCTCAGACTGAAGCTTACTTGAGGAAGGCCGGGGTAGATAAGATGTCCCTCAAGTCTCCAGCACTATCTGCTATTGGGACTCAATTCCAACCCTTATATATTCATTCCTTTGGCTATTTAAGGTCTTCCAGTCTTGAACACCCATTGATTAAAGAGCAAATACTCTGGAGAGATGAAATTCTCCAGAATGTTATCTATTAATACTCCTGAGAGGCTGATCGGCAACTTGCTGAGAACGAGGTTTTATGAGAAGGAACACAGAAGGGCAGGATGTGTGGAGCTGTCAGTGGGTATGGTCGGGGTGGGGTGGGAGGGGGAAAAGAGAAGCTATTAAAAGGAAATAGTGAACAGAGACAGTGCTGTGTTTACCATTTTCTCTTCCTGGAGATTCATGACTATATTTCCCAGTATTCCTCTGCAGTAAAGTTAGGCTCTGCAGCATGCTATGGAATCTGGCTGATGGGATGTGGTTAGAAGTAAAGTAAGCCACTTCCAGCCTGGTTGTTAAATTATCCCCTATGATCCTCTAGTTCTCACTTTGCCACAGTGATCTAGGAGTGTCTCAGATGACATAGCTATCGGATGGAGGGGGCTGTCTGACTTAAATTGTTATATTAAACCTTGAAACTTGTTACTGCCCCAAAAGCTGATTTAGCCTAACTCACACATGTAGAAAAGAAGTTGCCAACAAATTTCCTGATTTTTCCCAGATAAATAAAGCACAGAAGTCAAGATCCCAGACTCCAGAGTCATAAAGTTCTGAGTTCAAGTCCCAGCTCTCCCATTTCAGTTTCTTCATTTTGGTAAGGCTCTGTTTCTTCTGTTAAATGAGGGCTGAATTAGACTGTGCCTGTTTAGCCCGTTGCTTGCCAATGGTGACTAATCATTAAAGGTTTTATGCTGAGTGATTAATAACAAATCAGAGCAACCTCTCCAGGATTGGCGTGAGGGTCTGTGTGATTATACTTGTGATTGTGTTGTGTAAACCATGACGCGACAGAGACAGGTTAACTGTTATGACTACTGATATTAGCTCTACACATAGCACACAGAAGCGGTAGCTTAGTCGAGATATAGGGAGGATGACATTGGGATCACACACACTTGCTGGCAGGCGCAGGAGAGACTGAAGCACCCACAGGAAGACCACCCCAGCTTGGGGGAGAGGGAGGAGCTGCCTCCGTCTCCTCATTAGAGAGAGTCCCTAAGACCCCAGCCCCAGCCCAACCTCCCAAGAGCTGGATTCACCAGGGATGCCTGTGGGACTCCCGGTTGGAGAACATGATGCTACCTTCACTGATGTCTTTGCTGGAGTCTGATCAGATCTCCAGACACTGCCCAATTCCTGAGGTTGTTTCTGTGGGTGGGGGCAGAGTGAGGGAAGGGGTGATGAGCATCGTGTGGGGGAGTCTTACCCCTTCTCCCCCTGGGGTGGGGGATCATTGGGGTCGTGCCTTTGCAAGTAAGTCCTCACCATTTGAGCCTCCCAAACTACTCCCAAAAGGTCCCTTCCCCACTTCCCTGCACCTTCTGTCGAGGGACCAGCCCTCCAGATATGGTTACCTTATGATCATGCCCACACTCCAACTTTTCCAGCGGTGGATTTACCATGAAGCTAATGAAACTTAAACTTGGGTCTACCCCTGAATTCTGTCCTGTGTGATTTCTGGGCCTCTCACTGTAGGAGAGACAAGAAAGGGGACAGTGGACATCTGGGCCAGTGGAGGCAGGGGTGGACTTGACGGTCTCTCAGCAGCCTTTCCAGCTTCCTTCCCCAAGCGGCAGGACACCTGGGTTTTCTGTTGGTCACTATGTGGCACTGAACAAGTCATTTTCCCTTTCTGGTCTCAGTTCGCTTATCTGTAAGCAAGAAGTTTGGACAAGACAGTTTCTAAGGCCCCTCAGCTTCTGGCCTTAGAAGTCCGGCCACCTTATGAAGACTGTAGGCCGACCTGGCTGACCAGTGCACAGGGTATTGGGTCTCACTGTAGCCTTTTCACCAGTGTTCTAACGAGGACTGCTGACCTCCCGGAACAGGGCCCAGCCTATGAAGACAGGATCCCAGGCCCAGGAATCACCTTTGACCTTGGGAGGGGTGGCCTAATCTGCTCCTGGAGTGAGGGGGCCCAGATGTGCATGGGTGTGTGTGGGGTCCCAGAGGGAGACCAAGAATGGCCCCTTCCCTGGGTTGGGGACAGCTGTGGGTGAAGTGAGGAAAAATTCACTGACAGTCACACCTCCTGTTTCCTTCTGAATTTGGGACCCACCAAACCAGAGAAGAGACCCCACAGCACCGTCTAACTGGTCTCCCCTAAAGTGGGGATGGAGTTCCTGGGGACAGCGGGGGCTTCCTCTTTCTGAGCCTCATCTTGGTCAGGGCGGAGGCGGCTGAAGTGGCAGACAGGCCCCTGGGGGCTCCCTCTTCTCCCAGGGGCGTGGGCGGTGGGGCCAGTCAGCCCTGGGCTCCAACACCAGCTCTCTCACTCCTGGCTGTGCAGCCTGGGGCAAGTGACTCAGTCTCTCTGAGCCTCAATTTATCTTCAAGACAGGGAAACTAATATCTACCTTGTAGGATGAGTCTACGGATTAAATGAGGTCATGCGTGTGCAGTGCCTGACACTCGGTAGGCCCTCGTGGCCACTGTCATCACGATTATCATTGCTATTCGTTGGAAGGGGGGTGATGCAGGTGCTCTGCCCTGGGAAACAGATGGGGTGAGGCAAGGGGTGAGGGTGAGAAGGGGGTCTTAGCAGGGAGCAGTACTGGCTGTCTGCCCGAGCAATGGGAGGTCCAGCCACCTGTCCCGGCTGTGGCCTCATGGGGTGAGCAGCAGAAATGAGAGCCCCTCTTCTCCCCCTTGCCCAGGCGGGGTCCCTGTTGGGAGGCCTGGAGCCCAGGGGTGAGTGCAGGGCCCTGGGGAGAGGCCCTAGTGGCCGATGGAGTAGGCCCCCGAGTCTGTGGACTGCTTCTCCTCCGTGGTCTGGTCCCTGGGGTATGCTGGGTTGGCCAAGGCAGCGACCTTCAGTGTTGTCTCACTCACCTGCAGGCAGAAGGGCTGGCATTGTTGTGTTCAGACTCTGGCCAAGGTCCTCCTCTGCGACCCCATTGGTCAGACTCAGAGTGGGGACCCACGGCCTAGTCACTAGGGGAGCTAGAGCAAAACCTTCAGTGTTGTCTCACTCACCTGCAGGCAGAAGGGCTGGCATTGTTGTGTTCAGACTCTGGCCAAGGTCCTCCTCTGTGACCCCATTGGTCAGACTCAGAGTGGGGACCCACGGCCTAGTCACTAGGGGAGCTAGAGCAAGCCTGGGTAGCCCCAAGACTCTTTCCACATACCCCAAGCACAAACAGAAGACTGAGCATCCCATAGCAAGACTGGGAGGGAACAGCGAGTGGGTGGGACAGTGACGATGGTGCCCCACAGAACACCTGAGAGTCTCTGCAGAGCCCACTCTTGGTCAAACTCTCTCTTGTCTGGAGCCCAATAAACTCCCTTTCAGAAGACCCTGAGAGGTGAGTCACTAGGAGTCCCCAGGACCCAGTGCCCCTCCTTGCCCTGCCCCGTCAACCTGTCATGCTCCCTCCCCCACTCACCTCCTCAAACTTCTTGGCTTTGTACTGGTCGGCCCCCTTGAGGAAGTTGAGCAGGATGATGTCGCAGAGAACAGTTCCCTGGAGGAGGAGAGGCGGGCAGGCTCAGAGGGGCTGCCCCGGGTGGGCAGGAGCAGGGTGGCAGGAAGCAGTGGGCTTGGGTGCCCCAGAGCTGCCCCGGCAGTGGGCAGGACAGCCCTTGGGCAGACAGCAGGCCAGGGGTGGGGGGCCTGCCCTCCAGAGACACCTGGCTGATGTGTCCTCCTAGAGAAATGACCAGGGGTCTTCATGGCCTGCCTTCCAAACTCCTGGGGGCAATCCCAGACCACAACTACACAGAAGGACCTGGTGGGAGAAGCCAGGGGACTGAGGGGTAGCAGTCCCTGGGAGCGGGGCTGTGGCCCTGCCTTGCCAGGTGGGCTCCGTTTCTCATTAAGGCTTCTCAGGTCTTTAGAAACCCTAGAGTCTCTTTCCCCACCTTCATGGTGAGAGACAGGAACTGTGTAACGGGGGAGCCTTCTGGAAATCGGACGGCTGCTTCTGGGCGGAATGAGTTCTCCATCATTGGAAATGTTCAAGCCAGGCCGAGTTGGCAGGAGGTGGTGGAGACCAAAGCCCCCGGCAGGAGGGAGGCTTTACATTTAGAAGCGGGGCTTACCTCGGTCGCCCCCCTGTCCACCGTGCTGGCCCGGACCCCCACTCCCGACTGGCCTCCCGTCAGAGCCTGGAGGGGCTGAACTCACCACTCCCACGGAAGTAAAGGCCGCCACGGAGCTGATGATGGTGGGGATGATGTTGAACTTGCCCGCCTGTGGGCGCAAAGACCAAGGCGAGTGGGCAGAGGGCCCCGCAGGGTGGAGATGAGGCCCGAGGCTGAACTTGGACTTCCAGCCAGTGGAGCCACAGGATTCTTGGTGGGTCAGCAGGTCCCACCCCTTGATGGTACAGGTGAGGAGATGTGAGCAGCCGAGGGCTTCAAAGCTGGTCAGGGGCAGAACGCTGCCCCCCCAGAGGAGCCTCTTCAGGGTGCAAGGACTGGTCGGGGCCACCTCCCCGTGTCCGCCCCATGTGCCCGGCCTGAGGACTCACGTTCCCATACACCAGCACGTCGAAGCGGATGCCGAAAGCCTTCAGGAGCGTGCGGTACTCGCTGCCGTTCTCCATTTTGTAGTACTTGGCAAACCTGGAGGCCAGAAGCAAAGGCGGGTCCTGCTGTGGGTTCCTGTCTCTCCTGCCTGGCCCTGCAGGGTCCTCTGGGGCTCTACAGCTCTCACTTACCGATCAGCCCTCACCAGTGGTCTGGTGAGACACCTGTGTGCTTAGCGGACCCCTGCACAGGGCTTGTTAAAAACGCATTTGGGGCTCCACCCTGGCCCATAGAATCAGCATCTCTGTGGCTGGCACCTAAGACTCTCCTTTTTATATAATTCCCCTAAATGATTCTGATGTGCAGGAAAGCTTGAGCCACTGCTGGACTCCAGGCTTTTTCCGTTTTACCTGTTTTACCAGGTGTCCCAGGGCCTGGCTCACTGCAGCTGCTCCACTCTCCACAGGCTTCTCAGCCTTCCTGGGCTCAAAGCCTGGCCCTGCCACTCACTGGCTGTGCAACTTTGGGCCAGTTACTTAACCTCTTTGGTACTCAATTCCCTCATTCTTGAGTGGGAATAATACAAAAGTCCTGCTTCGCAGGGTTGCCATGAGAATTGAGTGAAACCACATGCATCAAGGGTTTAGAACAATGCCTGGAACATAGTAAGAAATAGGAAAATATTTGCTGATGTTGGCTGTTATTGCTGAAGAAATATGTTCGCATGTATAGAACAGTTTAAAAAATTGCTCTCAGACACCTTGTCTCATTTCACCCTTGCAACAAACCTAAGGGATAGGAATGTGACCGCTCTAGTTTTCAAATGAAGCTTCGAGGGGGTTAGGTGACTTGTCCTGGGTTACCCAACTGGTGAGACACAATGCCAGATTTGCCCAAGACTTTGTCCTTGACACCTTCTCTGCCTTGGCTGCTGTGCGCCAGGAACCCTGCTGCGGAGGGACTTGATAGGATGTTCACAGTTAATTCTTACCACAAACAGAGGCGGTGTTCAACACAGAGCTGGGTGTTCATACCCCTGCTGAAGAAGGGATTTGCCTGTAGTTGTGCAGTCAGTAAATTCTGGACTTGGGATTTGAATTGCATCCATCTTTTGGTTTCTAAAGCCAGTGCACTTTCCCTGCAGGACTCTGCCTATCATGGGCAAAACTTTAACATTAGCAAGTGCGGTTCTTTGGGCTACTGCCCCACAGCTGTAAAATGGGTTCCTGATGCCAGTATCCTTGGAAAGTGGTGAGGATTCACTGAGATGATGAGGGTCAAAAAGCACAGAAACCTTGTAGCTGTGTGGGGTCCACATTGCTCTCATTCAGCCTGGAGACTTCCTGGCAGTGTTTCCCACCCCCACAGATTCCCAGGCCTCTCCCAGTCTGAAAGCCTCAGTGATTGACGTGATACCCCTCCCAGGGACATCTGCATTTGAAACTACACAGCAGTGAGAAGGAAATGCTCAGCACCAGTGAATCAATAATGGAGGGATTACAAGCATGGAGGAAGAGAATCTGTGATGGGGAAGGGTCACCTTAAATCATAAAATGCTGGCCACTCTCTGCTCTGGCTGCCATCTGGCAGTGGGGAACTCTGGAGTCTAAATCCTGCCTCCACCACTTGCCAGCAGTGTGGTCTTCTATGTTACTCAGCCCTCGGGGTGTCAGTTTCCATGTCTGTAAATATGGGTGGGCTCATGCTCCTCCCCAGGTCTGTTGGGGAGAGTGGGTAAACACTTGCTGAGACCCTTTGAGTCGGGCACGATTGCAATCCCTGATTTAGAGATTCTGTCTGTCCCTCCACACTCATCTCTGCCCCTTCTCTGCTCCGCTCTGAGCTCTGGGAGCCCGGTCTGCTGAAATGGTTTCCACCAAGCTCTCTGCCCTCTGTCTCCAGGTGGGTTCCAATGGAAAGGACCAACAGAAGATCAGAGGGTGGAAAGATAGAAAGGTCAGCGTGTTTGGTCTGCTGGGCCTCTAACAGTGGCTTAGTTCCCCACCTAAGGCCAAGAGCCTTAGGGCACCCTGTCCTGTAGCCTGGGCATTCTCCAGGTTTTGGGAGCTGCTCCCTCCCCTTGCCTCCACCAACCTGGGTAGTAGCAGCTTCCCTGAGTTGCCAGCCCCCTGGGGTCCTTCACCAGCTTTGTTGGTCCCCTTTACCCCACGTGCACCTTTGTAAACAGTCCCTTTATTCAATTACCCCTTTTGAGATCACCCACCGTTTCCTTCCAGGACACCTGCCCTTACCACCCCGATTCTACAGAGGAAACTCAGGTCTAGAGAGTTTTATCTGGGTCAGGAGTGAATGCAGTACAGGTGGCACATTTCCTGTCTCTGCCTGTGCATGGGCATGGCCAGAGCTTGTGTGCCTATTTCCTTCCAGGACACCTGCCCTTACCACCCCGATTCTACAGAGGAAACTCAGGTCTAGAGAGTTTTATCTGGGTCAGGAGTGAATGTAGTACAGGTGGCACATTTCCTGTCTCTGCCTGTGCATGGGCATGGCCAGAGCTTGTGTGCCTGGGTGATGTACCTGCTGCCTGCCCGAGTAAGGCCAGACACTGTCCAGTGAGAAGAAGTTCCCGGGGGAGCCTGACCTGGGAAGCCATTTCCCCATGGGCTTTGGAGCTGACAAGCGATGCAGGGAAGGCAAAAGGATCTTCTCCAGAGCATAAGACCCAGAGTAAAAATGAGAGTGGCCCCCAAAAGGAGGCCAAAGGAAGTGTAACACTTAGCCCCAAGAAGAAAAGGCTTGGGGGTCAGGGAAAGAGGAGAGGGGCTAAACCATCTTTAAAACTATAGTAAGTTAAGGTCTAGGTGGTGGTGGAAGAGAGTTTCACACACCAAGGCAAAAGAGGATGAATTCAAGTGGCAGCAGCAGGAGAATAAGGTAGACACCAGAAAGGACAACATTTCTATAAAGATGAGGCGGTCCAAGAGCCTACTTCTTCAAGGAGACCTTTCAGGAGATTTTAAAGAAGTCTGGAAAAGAAATATCTGGAAAGGGCAGAAGGCTCCAGGAAGTCTTCCCTGTGGCTCTCAAGTTGGCCTGAGGGTAAGTATAGACTATCACCATCTCCACACCCACCATTTACAGAGCACCAGCAATTATGCAAATCCTGTAGTACAAGCATCTCAGTTAATCTCATGAACAGCACACAGTTGTTGAACCTTTTTATGGATGTGGAGACAAATCAGAAGGTTATTGCTTGAGCTGGGATTCTGATCCATACCATGATTCCAAAGCCTGTGCTCACAACCCCTGAAGCGTTCTGCCTCTGAGATCTAGGTGGCTGTTAAGGATACAGGCAGCCTTTGTGCAAGATCACAAAGCCCTTCTAAATTCTGTGTTCTGGCTCATATCACTGGAGAATTCAAGGCCTTCGTCTCAAAGATGTGGCAGTTGAGGATCATGTGGGCTGGGCAGGGGTGAGAGGGTGGGTCACAGATGTTTGGGGCAGGGCAGAGGTTGGGACTCTAGTCATGAAGTCTTCGTTCCTGGCCCAAGACTGCAACCGTGAGAAATGCTCTGACATCGATGCGGAGAACAAAAAGTCACTGGGCACTGCCTTTCAAAGCAAAAGCTGGCTAAATTTATCCCGGGAAAGAATGTGAAGGGAACAGGGAGAAAAATCAAAGCGGACTTGGTTTTTCTCCAGCACCTGCTTTCCAAGAGGCAATAAGCATGGTAAGATCATTATCTCACCACCCACCCACCCTCGGAGGAGGCTTGGCAGGGACTGGTTCCCTTCCCAGGGGGCAGGGAGGAGGAAGAGAGTACAGGGAGAAAGGGCCCGGGCTGCAGACAGAGGAAGGACCCAGGAGTCCTGACTTCCGCACTCCAGTGTGGCTGGTGGGATCATAGAATCTGTTCCACCCCCGTGGCAGAGACGGCTCAGTGGTCACCAGGGTGTGGGTTATCTTCTCGCCGGGCACACAGTTGGACCACATTTCCCAGTCCTTTGCCTCTAGCTGGGGACCCCTGTCCTTATCAATGGAATGTGAATGAAATGGAGGTTTGTTACCTCAGGGCCGAGGTGGTTCAGAGCAGTGTAACTTCTACATCTTCCCTTTCTTCACCTGATGGCCAGCTGCTCAGGAGTCAGGGGAGCATGCGGAGGCCCTAGGGGAAACTGAGTCAAGATAGCAGGAGCCGAGATCCCCAAATGACTGCATGGAGCTCTCCACTCCCACCAAGCCATAGTGTATT